ACTGTGTGATGAGGATTTTGATATCAAAATTTATTCTGACCAATGGTTAGTTGTTCTAAAATGATAAAATTATTTTTGAAGGAAAGCATATTAATAATGTGTATATCATTGACATAGATTTTATGAGTAGATCTAAGGAATTGTATTGTTTGGAAGTCATTGTAGATGATCCTAGTTGTAGCACAGGAAAGTGTCATATTAGCATGAGAACACTAAAACAAATCATTCACTTAGATTTGGTTAGAGAGATATTGAAATTAGATTTTAATAATGAATGTTTATGTGATACATATCAGCTAGGAAAATAGGTTAGATTTTCATTACAGTCAATTAAGGATATGATTACCTTTAGCCTATTTTAAAAAGGTTGGTACGATTTTTAATTATACAAATTAATCTAATATCTTGGGATGAGAAGTTTAACTAAACGTATTGTACAATATATTTCATATAATCTAATTAAATAGAGTATGTTTTTTAAGGTTTTAGACTGGTTGAACTAATTGTATTATTCTTAGAGACATGATATATATGAGTTTGTTGCTACTAATAAAAGTGTTAGGACCATATTAAATTTTGCTTTATCTTTTAATTTTATAATGTGCTTAGGTGGATGTGTGTCTTTATTCTTAGAGACATGATACGAAACGAGCATATACATGAAAAGGTTGGAGTAGCTCCCGTGGAAGATAAGATTAGACAGTGTTGACTTAGATGGTTTGGTTGCATAAAACGGAGGCTTTCTGATGTTCGATTAGGAGAGTAGATGTATTAGATTTAACTTATATTAAGAAAGGTAAAGGCAGACCTAAAAATTCTTGGTTAGAAAATATTATTTATCATATTTAAATTAGAATTTGACCATTAACAGGACACAATGGAGAAAAATGATTCATGTAATCAACCCAACGTAGTGGGATTAAGGTTTGATATTGTTATTGTTGTTGTTGTATGAGTTTGTAATTGCTAACAACTTATTTAAGAGAAAAGAGAGGAGCATCTCAGCATTTATAAGAATGCATTTAGTAAACTCAGATTGATTATTTCCTTATAAGAAAAATAGATCATTTATATTACAAATATTATAAAATTTTTTTAAGTGAAAGTTTATGTATCAAACATCATTTATTAGTTTTGGACTTTAAGATGAAAGGGACAATACGAAAAATAAAATAAATTTCATCCCTGGATTAAATGAGGACATTTAAAGAATACTAAAAAAATATTTTAAAAATCAGCCCTTCACCGGTCCCACGACTTGCTCTGATACCAATTTGATAGGAAACACTTGGATTCACAAGTGTTCCTAGCCAAAATCAGTAAACTGCAGCAGATTTATTGCTGTCCACAGCAGGAAACAGCCCAAATCTGCTGTTTACAGCAGAAAAACAGCAACACCACAAGGAAATCTGAGAGAAAACTCAAAGAAAAACTTGTATTCCACTCGTCGATGAATAAAACAGCAAGGATACAATTGATCCTCAATTCGAGAGGAGGACCGTTTTCTCCCAAATCTCTGGCAACGCCAAGAGCCCAAAGAAAACCTAAATCTAAGCGATCTCAAATTTCAGCCAAATTCAAGATACCCAAACCCTAGAAAAATCAACTATTTAATGCTTACAATTCAAAAGGAATTCCCTAAACAGTCTCTATAATCAATTTCCCTCCTAAACACCATTCAAAAACCTTCCAAAAAGGCTCCCGTGGATCATGCGTGCGTGCGGCTTCCGCCCAGGAGAAACCAGACGCCTGTTTCGCGACTCGGCCGGTCCCGTGTGGACCGGCTGGACCGGTCTAACAACATACTCAAACGAAAGCCTTTAAACTCTAAGACTGACCTTCATAATTCAATTTTACGTTCAAGTCCCTCTTTAGCAAATCCCTCTCTAGCAAATTCTTTGTTATTGAAAATTAATTTTGAATCTTTATTTAATTCATTTTATAAGATGGTGGTGAGACCTGCAATGCTCTATGGTGCAGAATGTTTGCCATTAAAAGAGAAGCATAGTACTAAGTTAAGTGTTGCAAAAATGAGGATGCTCAGGTGGAGTAGCTCCAGTGGAAGATAAGATCAGAGAGAGTCCTCTTCAGATGGTTTGGTCACATAAAACGACGACCTTCTGATGATCCGGTTTGGAAACTAGAGGTATTAGATTTGACTTATATTAAGAAAGGTACAGGTAGACCTAAAAAGACTTGATTAGATAATATTAAAAATTATCTTTCTTTATTAGATTTAAACGAGAATTTTACTTTTAACAGGGCACAATGGAGAAAAAGGATTCATGTAGCCGACCCCACGTAGTGAGACAAATGCTTGATGTTAATGTTGTTGTATTTGATTCTTTTTATGTGGACAACCAAGCATTAATAAGTTGAGATAAATTTGTATGAATTTAATCTTTCTTATTTCTCCTTGTTTTTAAGGAGTTGCTTCATGTTCTATGAAATTTAAATTTTGATTTGGCCTTTTGGCCATAACTGACTGCATCATGATAAGGTTTGATATGATGACAACAACAACAACAAGCCTTTATCCCATTACGTTGGTCGATTACATGAATTCTTTTTTCTTTATTGTGTCCTGTTAAGAGTCAAATTCTCATCTAAATCTAAAAAAGGTCATTTCTAATATTTTCTAACTAAGTCAGGCCTAGATCTACTTTTATTAACATTAGTCAAATCTACTACATTTACTATCTTAACCAGGTTATCGGAAGGCCGACGTTTTATGTGACCAAATCATCTAAGACCTCTCTTTAATCTTATCTTCCACTGGAGCTACTCCAACCTTTTCACGTATATGCTCAATTCGTATCCTTTCTTTAAGAGTAAAGTCACTCATCCACCTGGGCATCCTCATCTCTACAACACTTAATATTATACTTCTCTTCTACTGGCCAACATTCTACACCAGAAAGCATTACACGTCTCACTACCATCTTATAGAATTTCCCCTTAAGTTTGAAAGGGACTTTTTTATCACACAACAAGCTTGATGCATTCCTCCACTTCAACCATCCAACTTGAATTATACTAATAATATTCCTATCTATTTTACCATCACCTTGAATAATAGACTCAAGATATCTAAAATAAGTGTTCTTATTAATGACTCGATCGCCCAAAGTTTCAATCCCCCCACTAGATATATTATTACTAAAATTTCACTTCATATATTCAATTTTAGATCTACTCAAATGAAAGCCTATAGACTCTAAGGTTGACCTCCATAATTCATGTTTACCTTCAACTCGCTCTCTAGTCTTATCAACAAGAAGAATATAATAAACAAAAAGCATACACTTGGGTACACCCTCTTGCAAATGTCTAGTGAGAACATCCATGACTAAAGCAAAAAGATGTGGGCTTAAGGATGATCCTTGATGTAATCCAACTAAAGTAGGAAAATACTTGGTCAAACCATCTTGTGTTTGAACACAAGTAACAACTCTTACATACATATCTTTAATGACTTAAATATAAGTATTATTAACCCCTTTATTATGTAGAACTCTCCATAGAACTTCTCTTAGAAAATTATCAATGCTTTCTCTAAATCAATAAAAATCATACGTAGATCCTCCTTATTCTCTCTTTACTTCTCCATCAAACCTCTCAATAAATGTATAGCTTCCATAGTAAACCTATTTGGCTTGAATCCAAATTGATTTTGGGAAACATTAGTGTCACGCCGCAACCTATGCTCCATAACACACTCTCCTATAATTTTAAAGTATGACACATTAACTTAATTCCTCTTTAATTCGCACAATCGTGTGCATCACCTTTATTCTTAAAAATAAGAATCGATACACTCATTCTCCGCTCCTATAGCATATTTTTAGTCTTTAAAATAATTTTAAAAAATTTTAGTAAGCCAAAAAATTCTTTCGTCTCCTAAGCATTTCTACATTTCTATTGGAATATCATCAAGTCAACAGCTTTTCCACATTTCATTTTCTTTAACGCCTCTTTAACTTCAGTTTCATTAATACGCTTATAAAAACAAAAATCATTATTTTCATTTAGGGTGTTAAGTCACTAAAGTCAATCATATTCTCATAATCTTCATTGAACAGTTTAGTAAAATATCTTATCCACCTTTGTTTAATATTCTCTTATAAGAAAAGCACTTTTTAATCTTTATTCTTAATACACTTCACTGAACTAAATCCTTACTACTCATATCTCTTTGTTTGACTAACTTATACATATCTCTTTCGCCTTAGTATCTAGTCTATTATATAAAACATTAAAAGCTAAAATCTTTGCATTGCAAATTACTTTCTTAGACTCCTTACGGGTCTCTTTATATCTTTCCTAATTATCAGAATTTTTACAGCTAAATCTTTATAATAAATTTTCTTATATTTTATCTTTTCCTGCACATTTTGATTCCACCACCAACTATTTTTATTATTAGTAGCTTTTCCCTTTGATACTTCAAGCATATCTTTTGCAAAATTTTTAATATCACTAGTTACTTTTTTCCACATGACATTAGTATCCTCATGTAAATGCAAAATTTTAAGATCTAGAATCTTATTTAAAAAATTTAATTTATTAATATTTTTAAATTGTTCCCATCTAATCCTAAAACAATGATTTACTTTATTTTTAATTTTCTGTCTCTTCATCTTAAAGTCCAAAATTGATAAGTGATAATGGAACATTAACCTCATTCCCGGGAAGGATTATCATCTCTTTTCAAAGTTTACCGGGTCCTTTCGAAATTTTTTTTTTTAATCCTTCTAGAAAGTTTTTGGTACGTCTGGAATTCATGGTAAACTTAATATATATAGAGAAGTTTATCCGAGCCTACTGGATCAGAGTTTATTCGGTTTCATTAGTCATCTGAATGTAAAAACAAACTTGAACGTAGCCCCACTGCAATACAGATAGTCTTTGCAAGAATCAATCTTCAGGAAATACCCTTTTTCTGTATTAATGTTGTAACTCAACCTCTTTTGTAATTGGATGAATTGAACTCTGTACAGCAGGATGAATCAAGGTCCAAGAAAGCTTAAAGAATGATGGAAGCCAAGCAAAACTGCTGTATTCAGCGCTGGAAGCAGCTCAAAGAGATCTTTGGATGTCTTTGCAAAATAAGGAGCTTGCCATCTAACAGTTGATCCTTTGTGGTGAGAAGAAGCAGAAGAGTATCTGAAACTGTATTCTTCATGAAGTGTTATTTAATTATTTACAGTAATATTTAAGGTTTGTGTTGATGCTCACCAGAACTTTTTCATTTTTCTGGTACTAATTATTTTGTGGTCTATATCCAATTCATGAAATGAACTTGCCCTTAGATATGTAATCCTCATGATTTTTATTATCATCATCAGCATCCCCATCAATAACCTTATCCCAATTGTTTGGGATCAGTTATATGAATCATCATTTATTTATTTGTTTTGATTGTCAATGAGGTGGTAACTCTTTTTTCTAAATGGATCTTCGTGCAAACTTCTTGTCATGTTATTTTTATCTAAAATTTTTTCTCGATAACCTTTAAGATGAAATCTGTTAGTCCTCAAGTATATTTTTGTAGGGGTGTAAGTGAGCCGAGCCGGCTCGAGCTCGACTCGTTTATGGGCTCGCGAGCCGAGCTTATCATTTTTATTTGTACAGCATATTATATATAATTATTTACGCCTTCAAGTTTTATAAAAAATTTAAGCTTTATATTGATTTTTGTTTAGTTTAGCCACACGAGTGATCAAGTGAATTGGAAGTACAGCGAGCACTTATAATTTTCTTTCAAAATCACATAGATGCAAATCCAAATGAGCAAGGCATGCGGATGTAAATAATTATTCAATTAAAAGCATACGAACATACCATTGCTCAAATGTTGGTGACAAGTTTCATAGGATGCATTAAACTAATATGTTTGTTAAGTGTTAACCATAATTTATATGATATTATATAAAAATATATTAGAAAAGAAATTTATGACAAACTAAATCAATCCTACAAGTGCAACATAACACAAGTGATTAATTATGTAATTTATATGTTAAAATACAATTGCACAAGTGATTGATTATCTACTTCGTATGATAAAATAAGTGAGCCCAATGACTATTAGGCGATAGTAGAATCATTAAACGCCGAATTTGCTAAAAAAATGTTTACGCAACAAAGTTTTGGTATGATATTTATGCTATATAGATAAATTAACTTTGGAATACAAGTAAAAACATCCTTTTGAATAAATGTAATATATCTGCTCAATCAGAACAATGTTAAAGCACTGACTTGTGAATCAATGAATGAATGTTTAAATATAAGCAATCATAATAAAATATGTAAGAACTAAAACTTTTTTTTTTTTTTTTTGTTGAGAAAATGCATCATTTCATTAGAAATGGAAAAAAGTTATTACAAACTAATAATTCAAATCTAACGAATTGAATTCATCCTTCAAAATATACAAGAATGAAGGAGGAATCTCAATGTTAGTAAGATCATGCCAAATAAAATTTTTGCTCAAAGCTAAATTAGCGCAACAATCCGCCAATTTATTATAATTTCTATTAGTAAAGCTAAAAGAAACTTAACTAAATTCTCTTATGAAGGATAACTCATCTTCAATAATATCTATATTCTTCAATCTCTTCAAAGCTTGTTGAAGAATCTTAATGATGTTGAAGTTATCTTCTTCAATAATGCCATCCAATCTTGTATGAAATCCTTTATCATGTATGCCTCTTGTAGCTCCAATTGGCATATGTCCCAATGCAAGTATTGAGTTCCAAATGCAAGTAACATCCTGCCTTTATCATCTCTACAAACTCCAGCAGCTCTGGCCAAATTTTTGCTTCTTAAGGCTGCATCCACATTGATCTTTATCCATCCGGGTGGAGGAGGATGCCAAGAAGAAAACAGCTTATGCTGATAGACATCCTAGTTATCCGATTGGATATTGATTGCCGGTGTTACAACAGCAGTTGATATAGAGTTAGCTGCAATAAATAAATCTGAGTCTTCTCTTCCTTCATGAACCAGTAAATTCCTGCTCTTCCATACCATAAAAACTACAGTGCAGTAAAATGTTAACAATAATCAGATTCTTGCCTGATATCCTTTCTAATTCTTTTAAACATTCAGCAAAGCTGCCAAATTGAGGCACATGAAATCCCCATCTATTGAGCCATACTATCACCCTCCTTAATTTTCCACAAACTTCAGCAATATGATTGTTATCTTCCTCTTCATCACATCCCCTCGGGCAGCCTCTATAATTACTCAGTCTTCTATGTGAAAGGAATGAGTTGCTTGGAACTACCTCCTTGTGCAATCTCCACCAAAATAGTTTAACCATTGGCCTTAGCTTAACTTCCTTCAACCAATTTCAGAAATCACAATCTGGTTCATCCTTATGAATATAATCTTGTGAAATAGCTGCCATGGAATGACATGTTACTTTCCACTTCAATTCTATTTGATCCAATCCTTGATCAATATAGATTGGTATTTTTAAAGTGAGTTCAATCAGCTGCCTTCCAAAAAACATTTGAAGATTATCCATGATCCATTTGCCATTCGAGATAAAGAAGTTCAAGCTATAATTGCTAATCTCCTTATTGCTTACAAATGTTGGCCATTTTAAGATATTCTTATCAAATATCCAAGCATCATGTAGCCAATCAACCGAGTTCCCATTAGAGATTCTCCATCTTATAATATTTGTAAGATATTTAGCTCCATTGCACAAAATTTTCCAAGTTGAAGAAGTCCCTTCTTCCCTTTGATTCTTCCATAAATCATCTCCATATCTAGCTCTTAGGATACTATTGAGCAAAGTATCATGCTTCATGTAGAATTCCCAAGCAAACTTAGCCCTTAGATGTCCCACTTTAGCAACAGCCGAAAAAAGACCTCTCCCTCCTTTTTGTTTTGGTTGACATAACTTTTTCCATGATACATAATGCATACCCAAATTCCCATTCTTCTTATTCCACAAGAAAGTTCTACACATTTTATCAAACTCTTTTAACATCCCCAAAGGCACCAAGGAAAGAGTTGATAAGAAAATTGGAAGAGATAAGAAAGCTGATTTTATCAATACCATTTTACCTTCCAATGTGATAAAGTTCTTCCCCCAAACTTTTAATTTATTCAGAGCAAATTCCATAAGATTATTGAAATCCGATCCCACCATCCTCTTAAGATTTAGCTTAATACCTAGGTAGTTCTTTTCCCTAACAAAGTTGAACCTCAAAACATTTTCAGTCTCCTTCTTCCTCATTCGGTTTACTATTTTCCCGAACATCAACATTGATTTCTTGTGATTCACCTTTTGCCCAGTCCATTTGCAGTACTTATTCAAAATATTTTTCACCTTTTTGATCTTCTTAAAGTTGGCTTCAGAAAAAACTAGAATATCATCGGCATAAAGCAAATGAGACACTCTAGGTGCTTTAGGAGAAATTTGAATACCCATCTTCCTTCCACTTTGATAAAAAGCATCAGATAGGATTTGGGAACACAATATAAAAAGAAAAGGGGATAGGGGACACCCTTTTCTAAACCCACTCCTAGCTTCAATCCAATTCGACTTGTTCCCATTGATCAAAATACAAAATTTTTTATCCAAAATGCAATTCATAATCAAACCAGAGAATTTACTAGGGAATTTAAATTGGATAAGAACTTGCCTCAAAGCTTGCCAACGCATACTGTCATATGCCTGTTCCATATCCACTTATATAGCCATAAATCCTTTATTTGCTTTTGAGCATCGGATTTTGTCGATAACCTCTTGAGCCAAGAGTACATGATCCGACAATGATCTACCTTTTAAAAAGCCACTTGATCACTTGAAATCACCTTGTGAATCACCATCTCCAATCTGTTAAGCAAAATTTTTGCTACTAATTTATAAGTAGTCATACATAGGCTAATTGGACGGTAGTTTGCTGGATAAATTGGACTTTGCGTTTAGGAATTAACACTATCAATGTCTCCTTCCAATTGTGATTCATAATTCATATTTTGAGAAATATTTCAATAGCATTCCAAACATCCTGTTGAATTACCTTCCAGTAGCATTTAATAAATGAGAAGGTGATCCCATTTAGGCCCAGTGAAATGTTCTTCCCCAAGTTGTCCACCACAACTTGAAGTTCCTCCTTAATAAATTCTGCATCTAATTTGAGTTGATCAGCTATTTTCAAGATAGCAAATGGTTTTGGTCAGCCTTCCATCATGCATTCTCTGTGTCTCCACTTTGACTTGAAAAAATCTAAAAAAATACTTTCTACTTCATAGAGCTGATCCGTCTAGACTCCATCTTCATCTTTAATGTGTTTAATCCAATTAGAGTTCCATCTAGCATTTGCAAATGAGTGAAAGAAAGAAGAATTTGCATCACTCTCCTCCAACCACCCAGCCTTAGCTCTTTAATTCCACCATATATTTAGTCTAGCCAAAGTACAATTCAGTTCATTAACCGTTGATCAGAGCACCAGTAGCTTTCCTCATTGAGCAGCCCCTCAGCCTCTTCTAATTGAAGATCATAGATCTCTTCCTTCAAGGAATCTCTCATCACATTTAAACATTTAAACTTCACCTTGCTCCAATAGAAAAGTGCCTTTAGAGTTCTTTTAAACTTCAAGTTTAAGGAAGTGGCTAGATCACTCCCCCCACACTTCTTCCAAGTTTTTTTCACTATAGCAATAGCCCCATGGTAAGTTGCCTACACATCCTCAAAATGTATATCTTTGTAGTGAGACTTCACAAGTTTGAACACCTCCAAAATGATTGGGCAATGGTCCGATGCAATACGCGACAAATGCTTCACCAATGGTAGATGAATGGAATTCATTGCAGTATAATTTGTAATACATCTATCTAATCTTTCTAAGATGCAGCCCCCTCTGAATTTGTTGTTGCACCAAGTAAATTTGGGTCCAATAAACCCAACTTCATGAAAGTCACTGTTGCTCATAAACATCTTTATATCCTTAGCTCCTTGAGAGAATAAAAATTTCTTGCCTCCTCTCTTCTCCTCCTATGACAAAATACAGTTGAAGTCTCCCCCAATAACAACAGGTTTATTGACAGCATTTACCTTCTCCAAATTCTCCCATAAAGACTTCCTATCTAGCATATTTCTGTTAAGAGAGTTGCTATTTGTATGTTTTACATTCTTGCAACTTGTATAGTTTTGATAATTTCAAATATTATTGTTTTATGTGTAGTTATCTCCTAACATCTTGTTTGGAAGATTTATTTTTGCTCTTGTGTGTACTAACATTTCAGAAAATTCAAACTCCAAACTATGAAGACTTCAAATCAAATTCAACATATAATCCATTGCAAATTAAATCTTTAAGATGTTCTTTGAATTGAGAGGGAGTGATTGTAATTATGTGAATAAAAACACACACACACACACTTAAG